GGTGCAGTCAGATGGTTCTACATGGTGCTGTGTCAGCGCTAGAGAACGGTCTAACCATGCAAGACAATGTTGACTGAAAGCAAAACTGACTGCGTACATACACTGTGAGCTACTGTTGTTGGATTGTTACAGTTGTTGTGATTGAAAAACCAACACGTTATCAGGCTGGTACCAAAGTCCGCGAATTTGGTGTTGCTCTTCATGTTGGTCTTGCCAGCAGATAAAAGCCAACCATTGGAACGAGTTTTGACTGCCTTGCATTTCAGCCCTCTTTAATTGTGTCTGTGTCTGCCTCTGATCTGGCACCAGGTCGTACCTTTTATCATAAAGTCTCAAACTCACCTGTTATTGGCTGGGAGGCTACACACCTACCGCGCAAAGGTCGCAGCCCAGAAACACCTCAAACGCAGCAAAACAAGAGGAAAGTAAGACGATACAGGCAGACAGCAGCAACCTCTGCAGATAAATTCTCGCCGCCGGATGGAGAAAGCATGATCTGTCCCGCTCTGTCTTTGATTGGCTATTCATTACTCATGCGTAAATCACCGGCCACTCAGGTAGCACTCTCCTCATGAATATTAATGAACTTCTCCACCTGCTAAAAGAAAATCTGCCACACATTTCCAGTGGGCCAGAAGGAGGAATACCCGTTTTGTAAGAGTCTATACGTTGCAAAGGAAAGTCCTGCATAGTATTCCTTTAAAAAAAAGTGACTGTGAAGCACAACTAAATTATCGATTTCAAAGAATCAGTTATCCTATTAGTTGTTCTTCTTGCTGTGAATAACAGTAATAGGTTGCAAGTTGTTCATGCTATCGAACACGTAATATTTACAACAAACGGTTTAACTGTTCTGAGAAGCCAGTGGAGCACAAAACAGTTCTGCAGTGTCATTTCCTCTCTGTACATCCCCTTCCAGAGTACAAACAGCCCTGGTGTGGCCACATAGATACACTGGGACACAAAGGGACTTCATTTTTCTTCTTTTGTTTGTGTCAGATAAAAATTGGCTATAATGTTTTTGTTGTTGTTGTTGTTTTGAACATAGTGGCTGTTTGAAACTAATTAGGAATGCCTTCAAAAACAAAAAAAAAGTTGTTTCTATGTTTGATGATTACTTCCAACTATTTTTTTTTAACAAAGAAACGAGATCATCGATGATTAACTTTCGAGTGCAACAACTGGGAATTGCTTCAGCTGCACTTCTTTGCATAATTTATGAGATCCATTGCATCATGTCTACTTTTGTCCATTTAACATTTCTTTGGTTTCCTTGGGACCGTATCAAATGAACACCTTGACACCCAGCTGTCTAATGGAGACAAATGTACAAGCTTCATTATACTAAGTGGTTTATTAAGTGGACCTTGAGCCGAACAGGACTGTGAGTTTAAGACAGTAAAAAATGAATTTCTATGTGAAAATAATTCACATGAAGGAGGTCAGAGGTTGCATGATGTTCTCTACTGTAGAGGAGACTGCCTGATTGTGACATGATAATGCCATACACTGAGCTTTGATTAGATTTATTGTACTGATGTGTTAATTTTCACCATATTTTGAAACTGTCACAGGAAAACAGGATGATTCTTGATGTCAATCTTGGATTTTTTCTGGACATTTTCCCGATTTAACCTACATGCTCCTCCCCAGAAACAAGAATAAAAACAGCAACACCTATTATTTTACTTGCACTTAGCATTGTGCATCAATAGCGCCATGCCTCTTCCCAGTGTAAAATAAACTTCCTTGTCATGCAGGGCAATGCTGGAAGGTGAGGAAGCTAATGTTAGCTGTGGTTCTGGAAATGGGACACGAGTTTGCTTTTGAATCTCAATGAGACACACATTGATTCCACTGTGAGTTTTTGTCCCAGGTGCTGGAACAGGTTTGTTATGCTGCCATTTGGAACAGAGTTTTTTCTTTTTCTTTTTACAAACTTTACACAAGCACGTGGTCTGTTTAACGCTGAACTTTGCAAATCCAAACCGTATCGTTGTGGACAGCTGCCGCTCCTGTTAATCTGGTTTAAAGTAACTGAGTACATTTTTACTCAGGTGCTGCACTGATGTACAATGAGGAGCCTCTTGTACTTTACTTCCACTACATTTCAGAGGCAAATATTGTACTCCACAACATTTATCTGACCGCTATAGTTACTTTTAGGATGAATATTTTACACATTACAGTGCAACTAGTGGTTTAGGCTTCTTCCATAAATCACTGACTGGTTGGGATCACATTTCAGATGCGTACAAGTAGTGAACAGCTCCACCTGGTTTCATTCCAATAAATAATCAAATAATACAAGATCTCACCGAAAGTCAAAGACTAGGGAAAGAGCTCAAAAACTGAAGACAAATTTGTGTGTCAGAACTTCTTTTATCAAGCATCTGATGACCCCTCATATGTATCTGCTGTCCTTCAAAAACTGTATATAAAGTAGTTCACACGAGCTCCACCTGCAGCAGCTACAATAGTAACCTGCTGCTGACACATTGATGCTTCACAAAGAATAATCAAATGATTTCATTTACAGTCGTGACTTGATAATCCGACCATTAACAATCCTAAACCTTGCTATCTGACAGGTTTTTAGGAAAAACGAACGGAACCCATAAAAACAGTCTTAACATACCGACAGCCTTGGATTCTGACTCCAACATGACATTTTATGTCACCAATCAGGATAACGGCGTATTATCTGACTGAACAATCCCACAGATTGGCTACGTTCAGACTGCAGGACTTAATGCTCAATTTTTGTGAAATCAGATTTTTTTGTGAGTTCCTTCACATTTCCAGTTCAATACGACTTGTATGTGATCGGCTGTGTGAACTTCATACGACCCAAAAGTGTTTCGCATGCACAGAAGAGGACACAACGACGTCACACGCAGTGAGCATGCTCAGTGTTTACGGAAGTTAGCACGGATGGTGGCCACGGAGCGTATCTGCCATTCCCCCACCACTGCTGGTGGAAACAGAAGTGTGACCGCTAATTAAACTAGCATCAGCATCCAAGTAGTGCCTGTGTGTTCCGGCCACTTCCACTCCCCCGGGGTGGAAGTGCCCCCCAACCACGCAGAATATTCTGATATTCATCATTAATTGGGCCCAAATATGCAGAGTTCAGAAAGTGCTATTGGACCAGCCCTACTTTAACAACTATAAACAATAAATATTAACAAATGGGCCTTCCAGCATCAAGCTCTCCTCGTATCTGGACCTCTGTCTTGACAATCCGACAGCCTTGATATCAGACATAAAAGAAGGTTTTACATTTAGTGTCGGATTATCGAGTCACGAC